TTATGCAAAGACACGTGTGCTGTTCATGCCTAGCTAGATATATATCAATAAAGAAAAGAAGATGCCATATTGTCAAGAGAATAAGTACCACATCCACATCAAACTTCCTAACTACCTACAGAGTCACTGCAGAACAGGATCAGAGGAAATCCCAGCAAGATAAATGATCCAGCTCTAGTCAGTAGTTGATGTGTCTGGGAATACAAAGAAAATACACATTTTCAAACTGATTATCTACTTTTGTGAAATGAGAAATTTTTAAAGAAAAAATATCTGGCATCATCAGTTTTGTCAATACTCAAAGGATATGTTTTTTAAGCATCTCTGTATTAAACTGAGAATTTAGAATGGGGGGATTTTTTTTCTTTTAGCTAGCTGTGAGATGCTTCAATATATTTCGTAAAACAATAGGGCTCATCACTACTGTACATTGTAAACTGATTGTTACAGGCTAAGTGTTTTTATGTTCTTTTTACATTTGGAAAGAGATGAAGAATTTACAGGTGAATCTCCTCCTTTCTTTCATCCTTTGAAAGGTCTAGTGCTGATTTCTCTAAATACAGGTGGAGGTAGTACCAGCCAAAGCACTGGTCAGTCTCATGAGAGCTATAGATAAAATTTCTACGTGCAGCTCAGTCACTTAGTAATCTAAGCCTTGTTGAAAGCTAATGAGATTTGAAAGCACTTTGAAAATTTCATTTTGTGAAAGCCAATTTTCACATATAGTAATGTGCAGGCAGCAGGGCTTGCGGACTGGCTAGCTCAAAGCAGGTAGGATTTAGTTTCTGCTTGAAAATCATCCAATTACCATTCAGTGTGCTGTCCCTTGGCTGATAATGAGAGAAGGCTGTGTTTTTCCTGAGCAAAGGATACAGTCAAAAGCCTCTATGTTGCCAGTAGCTGCAGTGGGCAGGGTTTATCCCAATAAAGCATTTCAGCTTGCTTTATAAGCAGCATTTTCCTGAAATGTCAAGCTAACAAGATTCAGTCAGATCTGTTTCTTATTGACAATCCATCTAAAGTGAGGAAGTAATGAAAACCACATTTTAAATTCATAGCTCAGTCCTGATTAACACACTTGAGTGTAGCTGGGGTGACTTACTGTGGAATGGTGTTACTGTATACTGTTGTCTTTTTTTTGCTTCACAAGGTAGTATCATTGCAAGAGGCTAAAAAATAAATGGTGGACTGCCTACAGCTCAAATATAGATTCTGCATATATTTTATATGCACAATCTATTCTGAAGCTAGGGTTAAAACTAGTGTTGGGAGAAACCAAATTTTTTCTGACTGCTTGCGAATTAAGTTCTGATAGAATTCTTGCTTAGAAAACAGTGTTCATCCTTATTTGACAATGAATTAATTACTGCCTCTGCAAACAAGTGGCTCCTCTGCACCATCTCTGAATCTGCTCCCATGGAGGCATCATGTAAAATCAGGTTTAAAACGAGAGTGAGAAGTTTTTGTATACCTCACATAAGATTAGCCATAACTTCAGGATTCCTTGCTTGAGCTGCCTGCTGGCTTATCATGCTTACAGGAACCAACCTCACTGGAAGTTGATCCACAGTGTTGTTTATTTGTATGTTTTTATATGTATTTTGTTATTGTGTTGATCTCCTTGAGGGTAATGAAGTGTAACAAAGCTGGTGGGGGGTCTTGAGAACAAGTCTTAAAAGGAGCGGCTGAGGGAACTGGGGTTGTTTAGCCTGAAGAAAAGGAGGCTCAGGGGAAACCTTATGTATGATTCTGTGATTTAATGGCAGTTTTTTACATAGCTTTTTCTGAAAGGGCATTTTGTTCTTACCTTTAAATTCTAGCATGGTTAAAAAACAAGTACCATGCACTTACAGATTATCAGATCACTCAACTGGCAGAGCTTTAGTAACCCTATAGTTTTGCTTCCTCCTGTAAAATTCTTTGTAAGTTATCCTACTTACAGCTAGTCCATCCCAATTCAGACATTAATTAGGAAAAGGAGAATTCTTGAACTTTATTAACTTGTAGTCTGTTTTCTCAGTAATCTTCTTTTTTACTTCATCTCTATTTTTACATTTTCATGGTTATTTTAAACTATTATTGCTATATAATGGGTTTGGTTGGGTTTTTTTCAGTGTAGTTAAAAAGGGAATCATTGTTTTTTTGGCTTTTTTTGCCATCCAGCCATACTTGTTAGTAAGGAAACATTGTCTGTATCTCAAGTTCATTCTGAAGGGATCATGCATAGTAAAGAATGAGGACTAAAGTGCAGCTAATATGCAGGCATATTAGCCAGTTGTCTTTGAATGGTCAAGTTGTAGGCAGTCACTAGAGCAAGCAGCAAGTTTTGCTTCCATAAAACGTAAAGGAAGTTATTGCTGTTAGAAGCTGCAGTAACCATTAGGTGAGGGGACCGTTTCATAACCATCTCATCACATGGGGTGGACGTGTCTGCTCACTGGATGAAGGTTTATTGCACTCTTTTCAAGATAGCATTTAACTGCTGCAGGTCTAGGTCTTGCATCTTGTCAGTCCACTGCCTCTGTCAACATGTGCTAACGGCTGCCACTGCCCGTGCACTGTCCCTGGGGAACTTTTGGAGTCTAAAGGTATCTGTCCATTTTCTGTGCATTTCAAGCTTTAATGTCTATCATTAAAATTGGTCTCAGGTGGACCAAACACTAGCTTGTGGATTTGACATTCTATGCTAGAAGAAGGTTTTAGAAGCTATTTGTTCGTTGTTTAAACTGCTTGCTTTTATAGATGTTTAAAACTGACCCACAGGTTTACTAGTACTTTCTGAGTGAATGCAGGGGACATTTCAGGATTCATGTTTTACTTGTTTCTCTGTGTGTTTGCTTTCTGTCCTATATCTCAACATTTTTGTCCTGTATTCCGGGATAGTTTATCACATTCAGATTGTTCACATAGCCCAGTAGTAATACTAGTTAGAACTGCGTCTCACAACAACAGGGTGAAATAGAGGCTCGAGAAAGCTCTGTGTACAGAAACAGTTTCTTAAGAGTTTGAACCATTCTTAAAAGCTGTGTGATTTTCCATTTTCTGATATGTTTGCATTCCCAGAGCAGCAACTAACAGCGACTGGTAATGGCTGTGATATACACAACCAATCATTTTTGTTGATTTTTTTCAATAATGCGTTTAATAAGCTTGGGGTTTGGAGAGTTGATTTCTTTTTCATATTCTCCTTTGCTTTTCATCTTCTGGTTGCAGGATGTTGTTGATTTCTTTTTTTCACAGCAGAAATCTTTGATACCAACCACTATATTGTCTAGTTAATGGGGTATGCTGCAGGCTTAATGTTGGGCAGCACAGTACCTTCTCTTCAGACCTTCTCCTCCCGCATGGAGGAACTGCTGAGAGTAACCTTCCTGTCTATTGTACACACATCTGTTCAGCTGATGCTTAGAACAATTATAGGCTCTTTTGCTCCCTGCCACAAGTCTCTGGAATTCAAATTGTTCAGTTCTTCATGACAATAAATCCTCCAACCCTACCTAGCCTCTAATGCTTTTCAATTCTGGCTGGAGACAAGTAATAATTTATTCATATGTCAGAAAATAATTTGAAAAATGTCAAGAAGAAAAGAAAAATGGGGTAGAAAAGAATTATTTTCTGAGACTTTAAGGTAGGATTTTGGGTGGTTTTTTTCCTTTCAGTGTCCTGAACATGAAAGTAGTTTGGAGCCTACATGTAAGAACTGGAGAAAAAAAGTGAGAAAACACTTAAGAATACTTGAGGAGAGCAGGAAATCCTGTCAAGCACTTTTAATTTTGACTGTCTTATCATTTGGATTGTAAGCTTGAGAAGACCATACTCCAGAATAGGACCTTTCTTCTAGAACATTTGGAATGAAGTTTGAAAGACTTACCAGAGCTTTCTCCAGCCTGAAAACTATTACTTTCCCTAAAGATTTATTTTCCTCATAGTTTATTGTTTTATTTTATTAATAAATAATGACAAATTCAAAATCTTTAGAAAGAAATTAGTGTTTAGAATCTCTTTCCAGTTGTAATTTGCAATTCTAGGATCTGAAGTGTAGGAATCTTTAAATCACAAGACGAATTATGCTGTACTCAGGGAAAAAAAAATAAATCATGAATAAATTGTAGCAAGTTATCCCAGAGCTGTCAAAATGAAATTACTGTTATAAAGTAGGACCCAGCCGTCTTGTATCTCTCATGTATCTGTGGCAAAAAAAGCTGAAGCAATACGTAAACTTGCTACATTGACCCTCAGTTTCTCTAAGATTCTGGTTTCTTGCAAATGGAAAAGAAGGGGGCTGTGCAAACAGAAGATCTTTTCTCACCTTCCCTGCAGGTTTACTGAAAACATATTTGGATCAACAATCTTGAAATATCACATAATCCTGTGGTGACAGAATGCAGTGGAGCCATTGATATTTTCTCCTTCAAACTAGGTTGTGAATTGGGGTTCTTGAAGCAATAGTGGTATTTTTTGTCTTTGATCAAGCTTAAAGAATCTTAATAAAGTGTCATGAACTTGCAGACTGTTTCCAGGACACTGCTCTGTGGAAAACTGCCACAGTCCTATTTTTAGCTACTCTTCTTCAAAGACGATAGCAATAGTAATTTTGTGGAATATTTGATTGAGATTTGAGAGGAAGGAAGGAGCTATGGAGAGACAGTGTATTCCTACAGTGAGTAAAATAGTCTCCCTCTTTTTACTAATAGGAGAGATTGGCCAAAAACCATTCTAATGCTGTTATGATCTAATTGCCCAAAAAGCTACATTGAATACTACATTATTAAAACTCAAGCAAGCTGATTTCACATTTGTTTATTGCTGTTGGCTCAGTGATTTTATAGCGGCAGTTTAAAATTGGGCTCGAAGACCGAACATCATGAGTAAGATGTAGGCTAGAAACAGGCAGGACCAGGCATACACGAAGTGATGTGGTTATTCTCAACATTTTATATTTCTGTAACATCTCCTGTGGGCTGGTACCCAGCTTTGCCCAACGCTAGAGGAAGCCCTACATGTTCATCTACAAAAGTGCCCAGGTTGTTGGGAAAAGCACTGCAGAGGGTATGGGTGCTGTGGCATGCCACGGTTCTTTACCGCTTTCTACGTTGTTTTGCAAAGTGATATACTGCAGCAAAAAAAACCTATAACTTCTGTCTCACTTCAGGAAGTACAATTTAGGAGCTGGGGTAATTTGATGGATAGTGTATAGGAAAATATTAGAAACCAGGAAAGGCCACATAGTCCGCTGAGGCTCATTTCATTCCAAATACACCTTCCTTAGGTTATTGTTAAGAGAAGGAGTAATGTTAGCCATTTTTTATAATTCCACTTCTGGGTATTACAGAAATAAATACCTAAATGCTGGAGAACTAACTTTCTTTCAGAGCACTGTTTCAGGGGAAAAATACTTAAATGCAGATAGGTGGCATAGCAGAAAACAAATTGACCTCAAATGAAAATATGAATATATGTGTACAGTCACGGTTTCTCAAAGTTCCCCAGAGACAAGCTTCCAATCATGAGACTTTCAGATAGTAACCTTTCATTTGATTTATTGTTTCAGGACCGATGCAGGAGACAATATACGACTTTTGGAGAATGGTATGGCATGAAAACACAGCCAGCATAATCATGGTTACTAATCTCGTAGAAGTGGGAAGGGTAAGTGATTTTGTACTTAAAAAGATGAAAGACTTCCAAGGTGTTTGCTTTTGGAAATTAAATAGCAAACCAACAGGATGCTTACGTACTGAGTATAGCACATAAAATATTTCTGACTGCCTGTGCAAAGAGGTTCATTACCAATTATTTTTAAACATGCCTTGGATTCTTGGCTTTGATAACATTAGCACAATGAAAAAAGTAACTGATAAAGCTGTGTTCTGTACAGCACAGCCTGCAAAGACTGCCTAAAAGGGAAAGCGTCATATCTTTGTATGTATCTCAGACATGCCATTTCTATTAAGGGAAACCAGGGAGTTAACAAGGTACGGAGTCTTCTTTTTTTTTTTTTTTAAGGGAGACTGAGGGGGAGTAATTCTGAAACAGATTTTTGAGAAGAATAGTTAAACTATGGAATTGCACCTTCTTCATAGTATATTAGTCTAAATCAGCCTGGTTTGTTTGGGTTTTCCTTCCTGTAAGCCTTCTGGACTAAACTAGACAAAATAATTTTGCCCACTTGTACACTGGATTTGTTGACCAGGGAATGTTCTTCAAGAGCTGAGTAGTAAAGAAAAAGTTGAGCTACCTGGTTGATACTGTGTACTTTCCTTTCTTTCCATGGTGACTTCTAAAGTACGCCTCCTACTCAAGTCTTCATGGCTAATTTTGTTCTCAACAAGTATTGAATGAAACCATTATCTTTGTTTCTCACAACCATCAATAACCGAGGCTTTTAATTTACTGCTTTGTCTAAGCACTGGTGTCTTAGTTCTCATCTGGGATGTTTTTTTCAAGAAAATTTGCTCAGGAACTGGGCATATCACTTTCATTTGGAATGAAAAAAACCCCAACTGCTTTTATTGCAACTACTGCAATTGGTGTAAATTGAAGTGTTGAAATAAGAAGTCAAGTGAACATATCTTGATATGAGCCACGTGGGTTTAAGAGATGTTTTTAATTTCATGCTGGTGGAGTGGCTGATACCCCTGTGCCCTCTGGCATTTGCATGAAGAGAGAGCACTGTTTATGCAGTATGAGTCAAATTGTTGGATCTTGTCTCCTTTTTAGCAAGCCCAGCTTTACAATCTTAATTTATTCTTCCTTATGTCCTTTGTTAATGTCAATTGTTAATATAAATCCTAATGTTTAAAGTATCTATGTGTCCAAGTCTGCCAACAGATCAGGTGCCAGTATTATTTTTAGATTAAAAAAAGATGGGATTGGTGACTGCAATTAACACCTGCTGCAGGAACACATGTACAACTAATTGCAGAGACAAGAAAGGATCATGGAGGCCGCTTTAAAATTTCAGTCCCTTGAGTGAGGATGAAGGTAGAAATATTGGATGGTCACGTATCAATTCAAAACAGATAGTTTTGTAAGAATAGGAAACTCTTCAGCAATCCTCTTCTTTAAAGCTTTATACACATTCATAAGTACCCAAGCACACAACTTAAAAAGGGATGTTTTCAGGGTATGGATGAACAAGCCTTAGAACAAAAATAGCATACTGCATGAAACCACATACTGTTTTCCTAAAGTCAGTATTTGAAAGTGTCAATTAGAGAGAACTATCAGGTATCAGCCAGGGAGACGCCAGTCTTGGTGCCAGTGTTGGCATCCTCAGCTCACAACATTTAGGTGTGCAGCACATTCCCTCAGCAGCAAACAGCAGTTTGTGCCGCCATGGAGATTTCTTCAGGGTGCAAGAGAGTCCTAGTGGGATACAGATCTGCAGCTTTGTTATTTCTGGCAGTGGTAAAAATAATTTTCTTCTCACTTTCTCTGGAGGCCAGCATAGGTGGGTTCAGAGAGCAGAAATTGAAATGGGCTTTTTTTAATGGAAATGAGACACAGAACAATGCAGTCACTCCTCCATTGGTGCTTCTATCCTGCTCCCAAATCTGGAACCATCAGCAACAGGGAGGCGTAGTACAAACACACCATCTGTCCCACAACCCCTAACACAAGCTCAGTGCCACCTTGATTTGTAATGATTTTAATG